TTCAAGTGGTAAGTCTTTAGGAAGAGTATGTGTAACACAATTCTGCTTCGTGCAAATTGTAGTAAACATGGTAGTGAGAGAACAGATAACCTCCATTCATTAAAAAGTAATATAGATACCATGTTCCTAACACACATTAACATTTTGTGCAAACGCAAAAGTCTAAGTGTATGTAATATTATCATGTAAGATTTTAGTAAATGCAGTTCACACAGGAAGTGCTATTTGTCTTTTAAAATAAACATTATCTTTACAGTCTCAATTTCTTAGCTTTCTTGGAGTTGGTCCCTAATTTCCTCATATCATAAAAATAATTTAATTTATATTTAGAAATCACCATCCAACAAGCTACTATACCACTCTTAACCCGCCTCTGCATCATTAGGACATATTTCATTTGAACATCCAACAAATTAGCTCTATATGTCAACTCAAGGAGCATTAACTTTAATTTTCACATGGACAAAAGATTCTATAAAACAAATGCTGACCAGGTAGTTGCACAGCTCTTGTTTTTATGTGAAACTGAGAAGATAATTTAAATGCATACTGGGGAAGCTGAGTTTTATTGAATATGTGGGATCTTTGGTACATACTATTTTAGCTTAACATCTGCTATGTTTGGATATGTGTATGAATAAGCATCGTGCACACAGGTGTACCTTAGCTCAGCAGTGATTATTGAATTCCAACAGATTACAGGCAGCAGAAAGCAGTCCCCAGGATAAATGCAGATGGGATTTGTGAGAGTGAGGTCCAGATGCAGGATGGGTACCAGAGGTTCCAACAGCCTCAAAACTTCACTTAAGCCTTGTACTTAGCATTAGTTACCACCTTTATTTTCCTTGCTATATTTTAGCTTCAGCACTAGCAAGCTTTCCTCTGGTTAAAGGATGAAATCTTGAACGTCCAAATGATTCTTAAGGTAATTTATTTCAACCCCCCCCTCAATTTGGCTGTTGGACAGATGATATTCAAAAGAAGTTGAGTTTATTAAATTTTTCTTTTTCCCTTCAGAACAGAGCTGATAGTTATGTTCCAACCACGTGATCTTGGTAAAAGAACACTGACTACTAGGTATTTGGGAATAAAAATAACTGCATCTCACAGGGGAAAAGAAAGAACTCCGGAAACAACCTACCATAGTAGCAAGTGGAAGAAACAGAAACGGAATAGACCTCAGGGATGAGAGGGTCATACTGGAAGGAAGACAGGGCTTCAGGTTGCAGTCAAGTAGGACTCTGTGGAGTTCTCAAGGTGAAAAATCACATGAAGCATGTCGGTTCCTCTGACTCTCATTCATGTTTCTCTGCATTGCCTTTCCTCTGGACTCTTGACTTTTCACCCTAAATTGTCAGTATGGATACTTCTCGCACCTGTAGATTCTGGATATAAACCAATTCCTGGCTAATCACAGCTTAATTGCTATAAATGCAATTTTAAAATTGCATTCCATTTCTTTAAGTATTTTATGTTTTTAAATATTTTTTTTTTTTTTGAGATGGTGTTTCGCTCTTGTTACCCAGGCTGGAGTGCAATGGCGCGATCTTGGCTCACCGCAACCTCCACCTCCTGGGTTCAGGCAATTCTCCTGCCTCAGCCTCCTGAGTAGCTGGGATTACATTTTTTATCAGACAATTTTGCAGCTTAGTCACAAATGTCCATAAAGAGAAAAACAAAAAGTAGTCCCAGGCTCGGACTTCCTACTTCTCTCTCTCTCTTTCTGGCCTTCCTTCCTGGGTGATATATCCAGGATCATTGATAAGATCAAATATCATCTCTTGATTCATGACTTCAAATATTATATTCAGTCCAAAGCTCTTTCTAATCTCCAGATTCATATATCTTCAAACTCACTCTGATATCTGCAACCAGCATCTCAAACTCAGGCTTTACATGTCCAAAGGGCACAGAAGAAACCTGAATAAAAAGTGATCGCTTCATTGATACTTACTCTTCTACTGTTACACAAGCAACTACTTTATTTTTTATGCTTCTAGAGATGTTATATGCAATCTCACACACACCCACACACACACACACATTGTGGTAGGCAGCATCTAAGATGGTCCAAATGACTCCATCTTCTGTATGCAAAGCCCTTGGAATCCCTTGCTAATCCACTCTTTGGCTATCTTGCGTCACACAAATAAAATAGATCCACTCTGAGTGGATCCCACCTCTATGATTAGGTTACCAAAGACTGCAACTTGGGTTTGGCTAGCTGATTCTCCCTGTTACTGGCCTTGATGAAATGAAACAAAACAAAGGAAAAGTTAAGTGATAAGGAACTGAAGGCAGTCTACAGCCAACAGACAGGGAGGACCTGGGACCCTCGGCCAAACAACCCTTGAGGAGAGGAATTCCACCAAGTATGGAAGTGATCTTGGAAGCAGATCCTTCTCCAGTCAAAACTTAGTTGAATCCCCAGCTCTGGCTGGCACTTAGACTTTAGGCTTGTAAGAGGCCCTGAAGCAGAAAATCTGTGCCCATATTTCCAACCCACAAAAATAGGGAGATAACAACTGTTTGCTGTTTTAAGCTGCTAAGTTTTGGGAAGATTTACTATGCAGCAATAAATAATCCACATACATTTGTACTTTAAAAAAATGATATTCTATACACTCTTCTATATGTGTATAAATACACACAAAATATGTATTAACCCTCAGTTTATGTATTCGTAAGACTTCACATCAACAAAGGAGAAATAAAAGATAAGAAATTGAGAATGTAGGATGGATTTTCTTAGGTGTAAATCTATTTCAGGGATACACAGAAATTTATCTCTTCCATAACTGCACATTAACAGGCAGTAGATTCAAAAATATCAATTTAAAGCAAGTTTTTTCTTGTTGTTTCTTTGTTTTTGTTTTGTTTTGTTTTTTGAGACAGAGTCTCACTCTGTTGCCAGGCGCCAGGCTGGAGTGCAGTGGCACAATCTCGGCTCACTGCAACCTCTGTGTCCCAGGTTCAAGCAATTCTCCTGAGTAGCTGGGACTACAGGCACACACCACCATGCCCAGCTAACTTTTGTATTTTTAGTAGAGATGGGGTTTCACCATGTTGGCCAGGATGATCTCGATCTCTTGACCTCGTGATCCGCCTGCCTCGGCCTCCCAAAGTGCTGGGATTACAGGCTTGAGCCACCACGCCTGGCCGAAAGTTTTTTGAATAAAAAAAATAATTAGGCCTATGGACAAAACAGGTACAATTAACTTCCTAGCTAAAACTGAAATGAAGTTATGAAATTCCACCATTGACCACAACCTCCTTTCAAACAGGATCTAGAATGTTGTAATTATCCTGAGACCACAAGTTTCAAACAGCTCTACTGCCAATATCGGCAATTGTGGTGATAGATGGATTCATGATTCTAAAGAGATTGAATGCATCAGTATTTCTTTTCTGAGTCTGCTCTATTTCTGATAGTGTCACACTTCCTTCTCAACATCTTAATTTAGGCATCAACCCTACTGTCTTCAGAGATTTTCATTAACAGTTTCATTATTACAAGGTAATTATTTGCATGTTATCAATATCTACATAATTCGTGGTGATACTCTTTTCTTAAGCTTACCTCTGTTTTGTTTATGTCTAAGTTCCTAAAGTCATTCTACAGACGTAGATATATGTGGCTTTGGTAAATCACAGTGATTTCTCCAAAATAACAGATTAGCAGAGGAGGAATTTCTTTAAGAGAATAGGCAACTATTTACAATACCAAAGACATGGAGTCGATCTAGGTGCCCATCAATGGTAGACTAAAGTAAATGTGGTATGTACACACCTTGGCATACTATGTAGCTATAAAATGAATAAAATCATGTCCTTTGCAGCTATATGGATGCAGTTGGAGGCCATTATCCTAAGAGACTTAATGTGGGAACAGAAAACCAAATACTATATGTTCCAAATTATAAGTGGGAGCTAAGCATTTAGTGCTCATAGACATGAGGATGGCAACAATAGAACCTGGTGACTACTGGGGGTGAGGGACAAGGGCTCAAAAACTAAATAGTGGGTGCTACGTTCATTACATAAGTGAGAGGATCAATTGTACCTCAAACCTCAGCATCACATAATATACACAATAACAATCCTCCATATGTACCTGCTGAATCTAAAATAAAAGTTGAAAATATTTTAGAGAGAGAGAGAGGGAATAGGTAACTAAAACTGAAAAGCAGTGACATGCCTAAGCACCCATTTTAAGTGCTAGTGCTCTAGCCAATTTATAGTTCTTCCTGAGTCACTGTCATTAGGATACCACATTGTCCTTTATCTTGGCGTGTGGCAGGAGGAGTGACAGAAAATACTAGTACAAATAATTACAGCCATCAAGGACATTTGCAAGTTGTTTGAATTTGATGAGGGCGGCACTAAAATCCAAGTGACTGAGCAAAAGACTTAAAAAGCTACTGAGTAACGTATCTTGAAATCTCTTTATCTTTCATTTCATTTGTGATCTTCAGGGTAGTACTGTGTTTCATTTAGAGAAAAGAAAGGAATATGTTTACTCTTACATTTTTACATTTCAAGTCTTGAGGACACCTGTGTCAGACACACTCATCCTCTTAAACGTGGCTGCCACTTGTTTCTTGGTTATTGTAGGTGGTTTCATCTCCCTTGTTTCCACGATAGTAACTGCTAGCACATTGAAATCCTAGTTACATATTGCAAGCGGTAATTAGGAGATGCTAGGCTAGAGAGTTTTTAGCTCTACCATTGTTGTCTTGGATTATACCATGAATGCCAGACCATCTGTCAGGAAAGTGCTGCCAAGAGTGGATATTTATCTGGCTTCTCTGTCAATTTAAGAGGTCTTAGCAAGTTGGCCAGCTGCCAGCAGCTACAGAACCAACCTTCAGAGAGATGACTGCCGAGGATATGACTGAAACTGTACAATTTTAATCTCCCTTTTCATTTATCCAATTTTTCCACATCTGCACATAATGAAAGGAAAACTGACTCAACCCCCTGTGCACCCCCATGCTCACTTGTGATGATTCTTTCTCTTCCTGTCCATCACTTTCTGTCAAAATCTCATCCATCCTTCAGGGTCCAGCTGAAATTACAGTCACAGGTAGAATCAAAATGTTACTTCTATCTTTTGTATTCTTCTTTGCTGTTGGCTTAACACATTTATTAAGCATCCATTACACATTATGCTGTAGTTGCCAGATAGCTAATAGATTGTACATAGCTCTCTAGCCAGGAATGCAAAAGTCTGTGTAACTCATTAATCTTCTAGTGAGTGTCTAAGTAATTATTGCAAAAAAATGGAACGAAGAGGCAAATCTCTAACCAAATTAAGGAGTGGTGGAAATGTTCATGAGAAGTATTTATTAAGTTTTCCCATGGGGTCAAACATTGAAGATGTAATGACGAGTCAGAAAAGGAGATAAAAATTCAACACAGGAGACAGATGACTCCCATTCCAGTGTAACAGATATATATACAATGAGCAACAGGGGAGTGAAACTTCCAAAAAAATGATTTCAACTAAGATGCACATATATATATATTTGAGACAGAGTGTCACTCTATCACTCAGGCTGGAGTGCAGTGGCATGATCTTAGCTCACTGCAACCTCCACCTCCAGGTTCAAGTAATTCTCCTGCCTCAGCCTCCTGTGTAGCTGGGATTACAGGTGCATGCCACCACAAACAGCTAATTTTTGTATTTTTAGTAGAGGCGGGGTTTCACCATGTTGGCCAGGCTGGTCTTGAACTCCAAGCCTCAAGGGATCCACTTACCATGGCCTCCCAAAGTGCTGAGATTGGAGGTGTGAGCCACCATGCCCAGCCAAAATGGATATATTTAATAACGGAATTACCTAATGTTTTGTCAATTATGAATACAAATTTTAAAATGTGGCACATATACACCATGGAATACTATGCAGTCATAAAAAATGATGAGTTTGTGTCCTTTGTAGGGACATAGATGAATATGGGAAACATCATTCTCAGCAAACTGACTCAATAACAGAAAATCAAACACCACATGTTCTCACTCATAGGTGGGTGTTGAACAATGAGAACACATGGACACAGGGAGAGGAGCATCACACACTGGGGTCTGTTGCGGAGTCAGGGCAGGGGAGGGACAGCAGGCGGTGAGGAGGTTGGGGAGGGATAACATGGGGAGAAATGCAAGATATAGGTAGCAGGGGGATGGAGGCAACAAACCACTTTTCCATGTATGTACCTATGCAACAATCCCATATGATCTGCACATGTACCCCAGAACCTAAAGTACAATTAAAAAATAATAAATAAATTTATATAGGAGCTTCACAATATGTTCCGATTTTAATTTCTCCTAATGTGCAGAGAATGAGTTATAGTTATTTTATGTGTTTCTTTTTTCATTGAAAAAATCTTGATTGCAAAATACAGCTATAAGTTTGGCAGATTGTTTTGGCATAAGGAAAAAGTTTTGAAAAAAAATGAAGACTAGAGGCATAAGATTTTGTTTATTATCTAAGAAGACTGGCTTTCCAAGTGTCCCTGAACATAATTATTTGAAATGAAAACCTAAGCTTCTCTCTGGGGTTGGGTTATTGGCTTTAAAGAAGAGCAAGGTAGGAGGTAGATCAATCACTAGAGGTCAGGGATTGTGAGAAATTGTGATGGCAGTGCTGAGTCAAGCTGACTTTCATGCCTAGTATTTAGAGTGATGCTGGTGTTGTCAGCCTTGCCTATAGTCTAGAGGGTTCTTTAGAGTATGGTGGATATGACTAGCAAGAACATAGATGCCATGGACATCCCTCATCTATAATGAGGGAAGGTGTCTTAGAACATGAGCTCTGTGTTAGTCTGTTCTTGCACTGCTATAAAGAAATACCTGAGACTGGGTAATTTATAAAGAAAAGAGGTTTAATTGGCTCATGGTTCTGCAGGTTGTACTGAAAGTATGGTGGCTTCTGCTTCTGGGAAGGCCTCAGGAAACTTACAGTCATGCTGGAAGCACAAGAGGAAGCAGGCATGAATTACATGGCAGGAGCAGGAAGAAGAGGAGGGGAAGGTGTGGCACACTTTTAAACAACCAACTCTCACAGTAACTCAGTATCACAGTAACAGCACCAAGGGAGTATGGTGTTAAACCATAAGAAACCACCCCCATGATCCAATATCCTCTCACTAGGCCCCACCTCCAGCATTGGGGATTATGTTTCAGCATGAGATTTGGGTGCAGACACAAATCCAAACCACATTAGGCTATCATACTTGCCTGATGTTGTAATCTCCTGGGAAGTTCAAAATATGGGTCCTTCCCCAAGGATTCTAATTTTATTGGTCTGGAGTATAGCCTAGGTTCAGAGATTCTTTATTTTTTTATTTTATTTTATCTTTTTGTGCTAATAGGAAAAGGCTACCTGGGACTGGGGATTCTTAAAAGACCTCAGAAAACTTGAGAACCACTGTTACAGAAGATAGGGTGGTTCAGGACATAATATTAGGGTAAGTCGATCCCCCTAAGTCCCAAAAACAGATACAGAATAACCCCAAGACATCGAATTGCATAGAAAAGTAAGACATGTGAATACACAATTGGTAAAGAGGCATTCAAGGACTTTTCAGGAAGAAAGTGTCAAAATACCATAATTCCATATCACGGAGCAAATGCAGAAGTCGTTCAAGATCCTGGTCCAGGGCTTGGGGACCAGAATTGGAGGTAACAAGAAATGTACAAAGAGATGAGAAACGGCAATTTTGAAGAGGCTTTGGTAGAACAGCACCAGGGACTCATCCCCACACCCTCATTGGTACAAACACAAGGTCACATTTTATTAGATTTGCAAATATAAATGATGATACCCATATATCATCTATCACCTATTACTATGGTCATTTAGTACTTCTTAGCTACTTGTTAGCTTGTAAAGTCCTAAGTTAAATAATTATTTTATATACACTAAGCCAGATGTACTTGAGTTTATATATTACCAACATTCTGAAGGTCATGGGGTGAGGGGGGAAGGGGTGTATTAGTCCATTCTCTTACTGTTATAAAGAACTACCTGGGACTGGGTAATTTATTAAGAGAAGAGGTTTAATTGACTCATAGTTCCACAGGCTCTGTAGGAAGCGTGGCTAGGAGTCCACAGGGAACTTACAATCATGGTGAAAGGGGAAGAAGGCACATCTTACCAAGGCAGAGCAAGAGAGAGAGATACATAAGGGAGAAGCATGACACACTTCACATTTTACATCACATCTCATGAGAATTCACTACCGTCAAGAACTGCAAGGGGAACATCCACCCCCATGATCCAATCACCTCCTACCAAGCCCCTCCTCATATTTGACATGAGATTTGGGAACCGATGCAAATCAAAATCCTATCAGGGGAAAACCCCATTCAATGGCTATCACACTTGCCATATCTAGATGGGAAATGTTACACAAATGCAGGGACTTGACCACAGTTTTGGACCACAGGGACAAAGGTCACTTCGTCCTGTGTAAACAGGACACTGTTTTACTGGATTCGTCCTCGAGAAATAACTTCCTTAGAAACCTGCATTAATATCTATATAGTTTTCACATAGTATAAAAAAAGTGAAGTTTTGTAAACAGGTCCAATAACAATCAACAGGAACGTATGCCTACAGCTGAGGGAAGCTGGAGCTCTAACATTGAAACTGGGGTTTAGTTTTAACAAAAAACGTTTAAACTTTTTTTTAAACAAAAAAAAAATAGATGTTTAAGTCTTACAAAATAACAAGAATTTTCACCTGCTTAAAATATAATGTGAAATTTGCGAATGAAACTTACACTATGTATCTCTAAAGCAGAGGAAATGTATGACCAAAGCAAATGAATAAAAATATGGTAGAAACTTACCATTACGTAAAATGATGCATGCCCACTCCGGACGTTTTTGCACGCGGGGATTTCTAAAATCCAAACATCTCAAGGATTTCGTTTTAGTCCTTCAAATATTTTAACACATTTAACTTAAATATTTTCCCTTCCAGTCTACCTAATCAACTCTACCTCCAAGCAACCGCTTCTCTGCTAAGCAGCATCAGCTGGATTTCAAGACTGCCTGATTTCAATAACTGGATGTTAATTAGCGACTGTTCTCCCTCATACAAAGTCTCATGAGAAAAAGAGTAGTCTTAGTCTCATGTTAGAATAAAAACTTTAAATTAAATTTAGCGGAGTTCTTTTGAGCAAAAAAGCATGCACGAATTGGGCAGTACCCAAGAACTAGTAAAAGTTCACAGAGCCCCACCCAGCAAAGTGGGTAGACAGCATAAAACTCACTGCCTGCAAAAATCATTAGTTGGAGCTTGGCGTCTCCCTTATATAGACACGCTCTAATCAGTTGACCCACTGTGACTGGCTGAAGCTTGGGTGTTGTGATTGGCTGACACTCAGTGATTCGTTACAATATACTCCCGTTAGGCTGTGGTTTGTTTACATATCAAGTTAGGTTGCCCTTCGTGAGACACAGGGAGCTTTAGACCAAATTTAATTTAACATTCACAAAAGGTTTATTTCAGTAAAACTCCTTATATGTCCAAAAAGTAATGACATAATTCTCTGATTTGCCTTTGTGTTCTCCCTTCAACAGGTTGTTCATATTGTAGTTGCTCAGGGAGGTGTATGCACTCAATTTACAATATCATTATTCAAAATGTGGTCCACCAACCAGCAGCATCTGCACCCTTGAAAGTTTTTTAGAAAACGCAGACATTCAGGGCCAACCCTAGACAGTCTAAATAAGAAACAGCTTCAACAAGATCCCCAGTGATCTGTGTGTACATTAAAATGGACAATTACAGCTATCGATAAAAACTTGCCCTTTAAATTCCTTGGGACATTTACCATTTCATATATTTAAAGCTTTTGTTGTCAGGTTTTGAATCATAATTTCACAAATGATGATTTTTGGACAAAGTTTGTAGTAGGAAAAGCAAACAAACAAATGAATAAATTATTTCCTAGCTGTTCTATTTCTATCTTATCGTTGAGTTGTCTCATACTCCCTGATAGCTTTTATAATTCTTATGCAAATTGCTTCCCTGTTTGCCTGTCACTCTTACCTCTCTCAATATCCAGTTTCAGATTTAAAACATGTTTATTGGATACTTTCATCATGATAGGCCCTTAACAATTAAAAAAAAAAAAAAACTGGTCTAAATTTTTTTTTTGGTACCCGTTAACCATCCCTGCCTCCACCCCAGCCCTCTTTTGCCTTTAAGATGCCTTAGTTTCCCTTTTAAAAATGATTTTAAAAAATAATAATAATGACAACAAAAGAGACTTCCATGTGATTCTGATGATCAGACTGGTTTGAAAATTTTAGATCTAAGAGCAAAATAACTATTGCTTCTTTCCTTGAAAGAGGCATCCAACCTTTTAAAATAAGATATCATTAGCCCAGTCTATATCTACATGACATCTCAGTCAATTCCTTTGTATTCTCAGCATTCTATTTCAGATTCTAAAAAGGGGAATGGCCAGGAGCTGTGGCTCATGCCTGTAATCGCAGCACTTTGAGAAGCCAAGGCAGGCAGATCACCTGAGGTCAGGGGTTCGAAAGCAACCTCGTCAACATGGTGAAACCCCGTATCTACTAAAAATACAGACATTACCAGGTGATGAAGCAGGCGCTTGTAGTCCTAGCTACTTGGGAGACTGAGGCAAGAGAATCACTTGAACCCAAGAGGCAGAGGTTGCAGTGAGCCAAGATCATGCCACTGCACTCCAGCCTGGGCAACAGAGCTAGACTCTGTCTGAAAAAAAAAAATTGGAGTCGTGGGGTCTATTCAGGGGAGAAAGGCTACCTTCTATCAGCAGTAAAACAAGTATATAGGTTTGTTACTCAATTATAAGTCAGAAGCCCTATAAATTCTAATGTATATTATTGGGAATTCCAGTTTTCCAAATTGCTTTTGAAGAAACAATTAGAACTTGGGTCTTAACATATTAATTGCAGCAAAAAATAAATATTTTGTATCTGTGCAACTTTGAGAACAGTTCATATCCCTAGGTAAAAAGCTTTGTTGCTACTTTTGTTTAATTCCCAGAGACTAGAGAAACCCGATACATTTTACAGCTCAGAAGATATTCAACTGGAATGAACATCAGGCTACTTGGCACACTAGGCATTCACTCATGAACTTCAAAGGCATTACATTATGCTTAAAGTGAAAGCTGAATGCTACATTATCTCTTGTATTCAAGTTTGAAAATAAATAGAAACAGTAGAGTGAGAAAATGGTGTGCAAAAAAAATCATTTCAATCATAAAAAAAGATGAACCCATGGTATCTATTCACATCACAAGCCCAGAATGAAAGAGTTCTGTCAGTTACATTTGGAAAAATTAAGTTGAAAATTGCCATTGATAGAAAAAAAAATAAGTGTTCATATTTTAGCTTTTTCTTAGATGGTGTGATAGTGCTGTGGGGTGTATACACAGTTTGAAAACACACAGTTAAAATGTATTCCTTTTCCTGAGATCAATACTGAGATGACTTCCTTGTCAATAAATGCAATGCTGAATCAGGTGAGATCAAATGTACAGGTTGAGTGGTTTCTGGCTTACTGAGAATGAGAACCCGGACTCCCACCAAGTTTCCCCACGGAGATTCTGCCTCATCGCCTCCTGGAAGTCACCTGCTCCCCTACATCCGCTACACCCACAGGCTGCTGCTTTTTATAAACATGTCCAGTTCCATTCCTGCAGCTCTCCCCACTTGCCTTCCTCTATACAAACAAGCAAAGCCTAAGAACAGCTTCCAAGCCACTGACTCTGCTTCTGCCTTCTGCCAACATAATGATGTCGGATTAAAAAAATAAAAATTCCTGGCCGGGCGTGGTGGCTCACGCCTGTAATCCCAGCACTTTGGGAGGCTGAGGTGGGTGGATCACGAGGTCAAGGGATCGAGACCATCCCGGTCAACATGGTGAAACCCCGTCTCTACTAAAAATACAAAAAATGAGCTGGGCATGGTGGCACGTGCCTGTAATCCCAGCCACTCAGGAGGCTGAGACAGGAGAATTGCTTGAACCCAGGAGGCGGAGGTTGCGGTGAGCTGAGATCACGCCATTGCACTCCAGCCTGGGTAACAAGAGTGAAAATCCGTCTCAAAAAAAATTAATTGATTAATTAATTTAAAAAAATAAAAATTCCTGTTGCTCACACTTAATCAGAATCCCTTGACTTAGGGTCTAAGAATACGCATCTGAGTTGACTTTTATTTTCACAAACTTTTGAGAACTGTTGCATCTAATATTCAGAAAATGTGGATCAAAGTCCTAGAAATCCCTAGCATTTGCCAATGTCTCTATCCTGTCTTGTGAAGTAATTGATTTGAAGACTGCTCGGGAAAAAGACAACCAGGAACTTAAGCAACAACTGCTATTCTCCTATATACCTTGGAAGTTACTCGCAGTGTTAGAATTTACAGGATGCACCTGCCAGGAGTCTGTGATGAGAAGGCTTTAGAATATGACAGGCCTTTGTTAAATAGGTAAAGCTTATTGGGAAGAGAAAGTCACTAGGAAAACTCAGCAGGTGAAATGAGTCTACAAAATGATGTTTCCTTCTATCATCTCACTTGAAAAATAGTCTAACAACTTTTATAAATGTCCAGCAAAGTCGAATTTTAAAATGTCTTTTGGCAGGGCATGGTGGCTCACACCTGTAATCCAAGCACTTTGGGAGCACAAAGCAGGTGGATCACCTGAGGTCAGGAGTTCATGACCAGCCTGGCCAACATGGAGATACCCTGTCTCTACTAAAAATACAAAAATTAGCTGGGTGTGGTGGTGCACACCTGTGATTCTAGCTGCTTGGGAGGCTGAGGCAGGAGTATTGCTAGAACCCAAGAGGCGGAGGTTTCAGTGGGCTGAGACTGTGCCATTGCACTCCAGCCTTGGCAACAGAAGGAGACTCCATCTCAAAAAACAAAAATCTTTTATGATTCAGACAAATGCCCATAAAAGGAAAATCCAAACATACAGAGTACATAAAACACACATAAGCATATATTGTGTGCCTATGCACATACATACACACAGTATACATACATACAAACACACATGGTACATCAAATACAAGTATGTATATATACTTGTACAAATACAAATATGTGTGTGTGTGTTTGGGGTTTTATATAAACATGTATATAAATGAAAATAGACAAAAAAAAAAATTTGGTCCCTTACAAAATGTAGGTGCACAAAATATGTTGTATCCTCTGAAACACTCTATACAAGTGGTCTGCAGGTAACTGCAACTGCAGCCCTGAAAGCAGACAGGAGGTGTGGCTGGAGAGCTGTCACTGTGTCAGACGCACGCTTACAGGATGTGGACAGATCGCATGAGGAAGGGGTAAAAAGCTGTGTGTCAAAAAAAGATGCTACTGAAAACCAAACACCGCATGTTCTCACTCATAGGCAGGTGTTAAACAATGAGAACACATGGACACAGGGAGGGGAACATCACACACTAGGGTCTGTTGGGGGTGTGGGGGGCTAGGGAAGGGATAGTGGAGGGTGGGGAGATTGTACAGGGATAATATTGGGAGAAATACCTAATGTAGGTGACAGGGGATGGAGGCAGCAAACCACCATGGCATGAGTATATTTATGTAACGGTCCTGCAAGATCTGCACATGTACCCCAGAACTTAAAGTATGATCAAAAAAAATTTTAAAGAAGGTGTTCTTAAAAACAGATTCAGAAACTTTAGAGCTCTAGTGTTTCAAGAATAAAACTGTAAGTACATTTCTGTGTCAATTAGGACAAAACAATGAGCAGCATGAAAGGGATGAAGAGTCAGAAGGATACAGCAATGCAGACTCTTTTTAAAACCCAAATCAAAAAGAGAGACACAAGTTACTTGTCTCTTAAAATGGGAAGGAGAGGATGGGAAATCTGACTTGAACTGAGCTATGTTTAAAACTGTTGAAGTGAAGTAAGAAACATGTTTCACAGAGAAGTATAGTTACTTATTCTTCCATTAGGTTTTTTTTTTCTTAAAATGTATCAATGTTTAATATTTGTGTCTAGTTTCTATACTTCAATTTATTTAACAAAAACCCACCTGACTTGATAATATGATACACTGTGTCCATGTAAAAGCCACATCTGGAGATTGTCACTAAGGAGGCCAATGTAGAGCAATCTGGGCAACAAAGGAAATAGGCATCGCACTGCATTACAGCTCAGGGATAAAGTAAATATGCACATTTCCTTAGTAACGTGCATAAATAAATGAATGCATAATTAAATGGTGGAGAGGGGTAGCTCTTCCTTATAGAAAATTAAAATTAATAAATTCAGAAAGAATACGGGAAATACAAAATCACTATTATGGATATACCGCCATAATAATCATTGTTAGTAAGATCCACTGATGGATGTTAAAATGAGTGAGTGAAATTTTGAAGAGAAACAAGCTATCAGTGTAGGCTGAAAGTAACTTTATAAAGAAATCTGACAGATACCACACTGACCAAGAGTTCAAGGTCCACTGCACATGTAATAGGACATACTGACATAGGATATTATATACCGAGAAAGCTGCATCACTTCTGTGGCATTCTTGCCAAACAATGCATAAACTTGATTTAATCATGAGAAAACATTAGGCAAACCAAAATTGTGTGACTTTATACAAAATAGCTGATCAGTTATTTTAAAAACGTAGAAATGTCAAGGTCATGAAAGGTGAGGAGACACTAAGGAAGTATGACAAATTGAAGGATATTAAAAAGACGCAGGGACCAAGTACACCCGAAATGGATGTCAGAACTAGAGGAATTTGCATACGATTTGTAGGTGAGTAACTAACACTGACTTTCTGGTTTTGAAACTGAAGTCAGATCATGTAAGCTGCTAACATTAGAGAAGCTGGTTGCAGGGTAAATGTGGACTCCCTGTACCAGTTTTTCAACTGTAAATCTGAAATGATTTTAATAAAAATATTTTTTAAAAGAGAGACATGTAGCATTTTCCTGTGGACCTGTCTTTCGTTGTGCTATTTGCACATTAAACCAAAAACAATACTGTGGCATTTTATTTCTCTCCTGGTAAACATTTGAGTTTATTCTTCTAAAAGTTGCTACTGGTATATGAATGGACACCTCCCCCCATGTAAACTGCCAGGTACATTGATGAGTCAAAGTCCAGCCTAATTGCCGATAAAATGCATTCACAATATATGTGGTTATACTCGTTAGACATCTCAGTAAGTAAAAGAAAATTCCTAATGGATATAACATGCAAAATGAACTGTTAATTGCCCATAAGTGTTATTGTGGGTAAATTGGTATTGCACATGGGTGACATTTTCAGCACTAATATTGTTAATGTGACTAATTTAAAACACATTTCAGTACCCCAAAAATAAGATTTAGTAAATTTATGGCATTGAGTAATTGGCTTTTATTAAGGTTTTCTTAATTAGATACTTGCTAAATAGGTTTATTAGTGATCACAAAATGAATCTATAAAGCAACTTGTAAAAATGTAGAATTTACTGTGTAATGGCCAGTCTATTCATGGTTATAACTATTGAGAGGAGCTGGGCATGTGATAGATTGGCCATATTTTGCTTAATGTTTGCTTTGAGGTATTTTATTGTTCTAAATAGGTAGTAAATGTCCATTTAAAAAGAAAAACAATAGTCAGCAAGATGCATAAAAAAATAACTGAAGAGCCATCTATGTTTCTAGCCGTTTTAACCAAGTAAGCGAAAGCAATCACCCTCAATCATTCTACATGCTAAAGTAACTTTTAAATGGAGCCATGCTGACTCATATGTAAGCCACAGCAGGTGGATTGCATCCAGGTCCTCAGAGCCAAATACACTGAAGCAAATTGCAGCATCCAGTACAATAAGAGTTTGTTCTCTCTTTCTCTCTCTCATTCATCCAAGTGGATTTCAAGTCAAACAACTAAAAACCAAATAGAAATGTTGACAGGTGATGCGATATGTCAGTTCTTGTCTTCTTGGTTTAAAAGAAGTTAAACAAGACACACATGGCAAAAGAAGTTCAGCATGGAGGAATTTATTGTAAAAGAAAAATAATATTTTGAAAGCTAAACACAAAATAGACAGTATGCTGAGAGAGGAAATTCAGGGTGGGCTGCTCATAAGAACGAGACAGCAAAGACTAGCACTAGGAAGACTCCCTTTATGGTAGTCTTACATGAATCTTCACAAGGAAGTGGAAAGAGGTGTTGCTGGGAAGCATGTTCTGTCTGGTCTTCTGGGTGCCCATGCGCAGTGTAGCTGTACATGCTTGTTCATACATCACATGTTGCATTAGCATCTTAAATCTCTACCCAGGGGTGTGTTTTTTTACTATTACAATGACCAAAGGGTCAGTTCAAGGACAGGTAAAATCAAAATACGCATGCTCTCTAGAAGGGCAAGTCCGTACTGAAGATTGTTTTGCTTGTATGAACTCAATCACGGTAAGAATGTTGAGGTTTACTGTGTTGACTGAATGGATGTCATGGTCACTGCCTCCCAAGAGAACATGCTCACTTCCTTGACTACCTATCCTGCCTCAGAACTGTATTAGAAAATATGATACACCAACAACTTATCTAAGGCCACTACAATATTGAAAACTCCCAATCTTTTCCGTTTCAAATGCATGTCTAATTTATTATCCTAAAATTATATCCTTTTTCTTTTAATCCAAATGCTCATAACAGTGTTTGTAATTGTCAACACACTATGTGTGTATGTATATATATATATCACATATTTTATATAGATTAACATGAATATATATAACATATATATAACACGTGAATATATATATTACATGAACTTGAAGGAAGTTTTGCATCAAATAATTGTTGAGCAACTAGCTGTCAGTTCTACATAGTGGCATGATTACTGCTGAACAGACAGAAATAAACAACTGATTATGACAGCACTCTTTCATAAACTGTAAAAAATTGGAATGGAGGCTAGCATATTTTATTAAGAGCAAATAAGAGATACAAGGGCTGGACCATAGAGTAATTATAACTGAAAAACAAAGTTTTCTGTGCATCATAGTTCAGAGTGCACCAGACATACTTCATGAGTAATTCCCATTTTAACACACAGTACATTGAAAAGACTTGCAGTCAAGGGTCAAGATTTAATTAAACGAATAATTTTTATAGTTTCATTAAGAGCATTCTTAAATGAGTTTGGCAATTTTTTTTCTTGGCTTTTTTTCTTTCTTTTTTGCTTGACTGCAGGAGAGGTGTAAGAAGGTTTATCTTACTTATGGTATCATATAAGACACTTCAATTAAAAAAACTTAATTAATATATTTGTTGATAAAGAGAGTGATGTGGGGAAGGGATAAATCTCTTTTGTTAACAGCAGAAGTGGCACTGAAACATAACCAGGGGTCCTTCAAGTGCTGTGGGTGAAAATAGTCAATTATTTTTTATTCTTTGCACCAGCACTTCATTTTTTATGGACACCAGAAATGGACCCTTCAATTATATGTGTACAGAAAACAATATATTTTTCATCTTTATTTGATCAATATTTACCAGTTAACCCTGTGCTAAGTGCTGGGAACTCAATGTAAGACACAAAAAGACACATCTCCTGACCTCAGGAGGTTTAGTTATAGCCATGTTACAAAATTGTGCCTTCATCCTAAGAATGAGAAGAAAGTGCTAAAGAGAAACAGTGAGTAAGACATGACATAGGGGCTTGCAAATTAGAGAATGGCTAATACGTCGGTGCATTATTTCTTTCTTGCACTGCCATAAAGAAAGATCTCTAAGACTGTATAATTTGTAAAGAGAAGAGGTTTAAATTGGTTCACAGTTCTGCAGGCTATACAGGAAGCATAAAGGTTTCTGCTTCTGTGGAGACCTCAGGAAACTCCCAATCACTGGGGAGGAAAAGGAGGAGCAAGGCATCTAACGTGGCAGGAGCAGCAAGAGAGAGGAAGCAGGGAGGTGCTACACACTTTCAAACAACCGGATCTCATGAGAACTGTCACTATGGCGTGGACAGCATGGAGACGGATGGTGTTACACCGCTAAGGAGAAACAGCCCCGTGATGCAATCACCTCCCATCAGGCCTCACCTCCACCATTAGGGATTACAATTCAACATGAGATTTGGTGAGAACACAGATCCAAACTCCATCAGTTGAGAACTTTATAGTCCTGATATAACAGGCTAATTAGGCAGCCACTTCAATGAACTATCCAAGAGATGACAATTGAATGGGGATTTTTGGAGAAAGAGATATGGGATAGATTTATGATATATTTAAGAAATAAATAGACCAATTGTGGATATAAATTGCATAGGGAGTGTGATGAGCATGGACTCTTGGCTCGTTTTCAGCTTTTCACAGCTAGGTATATAGCATTGCTCTTCCATGAAACGTGACACATTGGAAGACATCAGCAATGGGAGGTTGCTGAAAGATGCATTGCTGGAGTAAGATGCAGAGCATGAAAAATAAGGCTGATCTTCATGTCAACCCAATGGTGGGTCTACAGGATGTAAAAGAGAGTATGCCAGAATTTTCTAGCTGGTACTCTGCAAGGATAAATATTCTATGCTCTGTGGAAAAAATGCATTATCAAACATTTTGATTTTCTTGTCAATGTCTTGGAAGCTAGAGCCTATCTTGTGTCTGATTAGAGGTTTCCAGTAAAGAGTAAGATTGTCATTGACACTTGGGCAGAAAGAAATTAGGTGTTGACCAGAAACTGTCCCTTCTTTAGAACTGTGACCTTTAGGCCTGGGGGGTAAGAATTGTACCACCTGGGCGGGAGGACAAAGGAAGGAAGACTAAGTAGGAGAATCCTTGGACGACATGATTGGTGGATTCTAGGAAATGTGATAGCAGATATCCAACTGAATTCACTTTTCCTGCACATATAGGTATTGTCTGTTGTTTCCAAACCTTCCATAATTTTTATCTTAAAACCTGTGATGTCGGCCAGGCTCAGTGGCTCACGCCTGTAATCCCAGCACTTTGGGAGGCCAAGGTGGGTGGATCACTAGGTCAGGAGTTCAAGACCAGCCTGGCCAAGATGATGAAACCCCATCTCTACTTTAAAAAATACGAAAATTAGCCAGGCATGGTGGCAGGTACCCGTAATCCCAGCTACTCAGGAGGCTGAGGCAGGAGAATTGCTTGAACCTGGGTGGGGGTGGGGGCAGAGGTTGCAGGGAGCCAAAATCACACCACTGTACTCCAGCCTGGGCAGCACAGTGAGACTCCATTTCAAAAAAAAAAAAAAAAACATGGAGTCAACATCACTGTATCTTCTGAATTATTAAGGGGAAGACCTGAGCTTCAGCCAGAAACAGTTGGTCATGAAAAACAAGGGTAAATTAAACTCTAGTTTGGTCACTAAGTAATAGTCTAATGTGAGCCAATTGGCTGAAGTAACATCAACACAAAAATGAGTTAGTTGAATCTGACACCATTCTTTTAGGATCTCTAGAAAAGTGCAGAGGAGAGAAGTTACCTACCTAGAAGATCTAACTTTCTGAAGTCTCAAGACAGAAGTTCAAACTATTTGTATTTGGGTGTTAAAGAAATGGATGGTATTTGAAAGCTGTGTGAATTATGCTGAAGTCTGCCTTGGTTTCACTGAACTGCCTGGAAAGCAGAAGGAGATTCTACACCTCTCCCCAAACCACTCCTTTAAAGGAAATGCATTCATACAGCAAGAAATCACTGCATGTGTGTAACTATGATTTATTTTGGAAAACTAGTAGCAATTTTAAAAAGAATATTACTAATATCTCAAAAGATATTTCCCTTCAAACTGTGGATTTCAAGAATAAGACTACCTCCGAGTTTATACTATGTCTTATAGTTTAACTTCCTAAGCTTCAGTTTCATTATAAAAGCCAACAGAAAAAGTAAAATTGCTAAAAAGATACTTTTTAGGGAATTTTGACACAGTATCAGTTTCATACATCATGAAATTTCAACTATGGTAAAGTCAGGTGGGACTGTATTTCCACCAGGAAAGTCATCAGGAAAGATGAGAGATTTTCTTTCTTTTATATGAATCATAGGGAGAAAAGTGATGTGCAGACAGAAAACGTAATGCCATTCAAAAAGTATTATCAACATTATCACCAATAGTTCTTAATATAAGGACTGTGAGTAATTTGAAATTGCTTTTGTCATGTTCTCTTCTGTGTGTTTTGTGAGTTAAAATATAGTACTTTTGCCATGTGTGTTTTATTTTCTTTCATATAACTATATTCTCATTCCAGAAGATGCTATTCTCCAATAATTTATTTGGTGCTATAAATTTCTACTGAGAAAAGTTTGTCAGAGATCTCCAACAAATGAAAAATATCATTGCAAGACATGTTTCATTCCTCATAGTCATTTGTGATCATATTTCTTTAATACATATTTTGAAAGAACAGGTCATTTCACTGCTCAATTAAAAATTTAATTTGTTCCTGTTGAAAATACAGAGAAACATGAATCATTTATAACAGCTTGTTTTGAATGAAAACATGAATTCATTCAATAAGAACAAACTTTACCAGAAAGTTTATCAAATGAATAGCTTTGGAGCAGATGTGCTGGTTCAATGGGCATAAATTCATGTCCAGTATCAGCATATGAAATAAGGTAATTATTTATCAAGAGCAAACCCAAGTTACTATGGAATGACAGAAAAAATTATGATAAGAACTGGTCTTGGTAGTTCCTGGCTTGATAAAACAGACGTTCATAATGTAAGGATGCCTCAAAAAATGATTATTATTGCTTCTCATTTTCAGAAACAAGATGAAAGTACTAAGCAATTCAAGTTGTGAGAGTTTTTGGGCCTTTCTTAGGAGAAGGAGGGAAGGGTTAGCTGGCAGCCAGGGCCATGGAAGGCGTCTAAGTTTCATTCCAGTTAGATTCACTATTTGCATTTCCTTCATATAATAAATGTAAGATAGATTTATAAAAAGAAATGAACTACACATGATATTTCTGACTCAGAAAATATGAGCATAGGCAGTTACAGCCCAAGAATTTTGTACATAGAAAAATAAAGAGACACCTAAAAACAGATTTCTTCCTGGAAAAGCTTACACAAAAGAGTTCCAGAGTGAAGGATCTCAGGCCTAGTTGGATGAAGCAAATTATGGGAAAGCGGGTGTGATAAGCAGAACAATGCCCTGCAAAACTGTCCATATCCTAGTCCTTGTGGCCTGTGAATACCTGCCTTATGCAGCAAAGTGGAATAAGGTTGCAGATGCAATACAGGACACAAATCAACTGGCATTAAATAGGGACATTATGCTTAATGATTTGATTATCTGGATTGTGGTCTCAATATAATCACAAGTGTCCTTAAAAGTGAAAAAAGGAGGCAAAAGAGGAGGTCTCAGTGACGTATTTTTAGAAAAACTTGATCTGCCATTGCTTATTTCGAAAATAAAGAGGCTGGACATGGTGGCTCACACCTGTAATCCCAGTACTTTGGGAGACCAAAGCGGATGGATCACCTGAGGTCAGGAGTTTGAGATCAGCCTGGCCAGCATGGTGAAACCCCATCTCTACTAAAAACACAAAAATTAGCCAGGTATGATGGTGCACACCTGAAATCCCAGGTACTCAGGAAGCTGATACAGGAGACTCACTGAACCTGGGAGGTGAAGGTTGCAGTGAGCTGAGATTGTATCACTGCACTCTAGCCTGGGTGATGGAGCAAGACTCCAGCTCAAGAAACAAAAGAAAGAAGGAATCATGTAACAAAGACTGTGGACAATAAACAGATGCTGAAAAGGCAAGAAAACTAATTTATTTTAGCTTCCAGGAGAAAACACAATCCTGCCAACACTGATGTTGGCCCAGTAAGACATATTTTGAAATTCTAGTCTACAGAACTGCAAGGTGATAAATGTGTGCAGTGCTAAACCTCTATATGGTTGAAATTTGTTACAGCAACAATAGAAAAGTAATAAAGAAAGGGTAGAGTAAACATCTACAAACAGAATTATGAGGAATTCTTGTCCTGTTATACACAGTCATAGAAGCTCATCCTAAAGCAGTTAGTGTCAAAAAAAGAAAGGCTCATTTGAAATATAACTTTCAGGTGTTACTTTTTTGCTCCCATACATAAATGATGAACCAATCTCATCAGATACTTGAGAAGTTTTTGCCATAAGAAATATACAAAAACAAGTCAGTAGCAAACCCCAGTGATTCGAAGAAAAGATAGAATGTAGGGAGTAAAATAAATTTTCAAAAAAATATAAATAATATGATCAAAGAGATAATAGAAGTCAGTATACAAATAAAATAAATCAGGGAACTCTGGGAGAAGTGCATTCATGGAGCTTGGAAATGTGAAATATGAAAGCTGAAATTAAAAAGTTGTCAGCAGAACGACTGGAAGATAAAGTTGAAAAAGCCTTCCAAAAATTAGAAGAAAAATGGAGAATATGTGAAGGGGAAAAAAAGAGAGTATGAACTCAGGTCGTAAAATGAAACTTCTAGAAAGAAAGAATAACAAAAGAGTGGGCAGTATGGATTAATTTTGCCCAAAGAGAGACCTGGCCTTTGCCTTTCTCTCTGGAAAAGTAATCTCTAAGGTCTTCAAATGTCCTGCCTAACAAGAAGGCTTTTGTTTACTTCGGGGCCTCAGGCCATGTCCAGTAGTCTGTGCTAATAATGAGATTTATGATAGGAACTCTGACCACATCAGATGGTCTATGCAGACAATGTGATTTATGGCGAAGAAGATTTTGGAGAATAACTTGAGCCATGAGGGCAATCAACCGTGTCTATGTGACCATGCCCCAGTAAAAAGCTCTGGACACCAAAACTCAAGTAAGCTTCCCTGGTGGGCAATACTTCATGCATATTGCACACATCGCTGCTGGGAAAATTTAGCAGTGTTCACAAGTCCATGGGGAGATGACAACTGGAAGTTCATGCTTAGAACTCTATGGATGCTGTGTCTTTTTCATGGTAACTTTAATCTGTATTGTTTTGCTGTAATAAAGTATAAAACCACCATAGTAGTGTGAATCATTCTATCAAATTATAGAACTGAGGGTCATCTTGAGAATCCTCAAACTTACAAATGGTTTCAGAATTGAGGGTTTTCCTGGGGACTCTGGAATTATTAAACTGTATGCCTATGAGAGTGATTTAAGGAAACCCCAAAGCATAAAAACTGACAATATTAAGTGTTGAGAATGCAGACCCACACAAATGCTCCCTCATTGCTGGTGTAAATGCAAACTAAAATAGCAATTTTGGCAATTTCTTATAAAGTCATACATGCCCTTACCATATGATACAGGAATTCGAATACTAGCCATTTACCTAAGAGAAATAAAAATTTATGTTCATGCAGAAAACAAAATGGGAGTTTTATAGCATCTTTGTTTATAATTGCAAAAACTGGAAACAACCTTGTTTTCATCAACAGATGAATGAAAAAGCTGTGATACTTTCATATAATAAATATTATTCAGCAAAAAAACATGGAATGGAATTTTTCCTTAAGTGAAAGAGGCCAAACTCAAAAGGCTGCATACTGTATGATCCCATTTATATGGCATTCTAGAAAATGCAAAAATATAAATATGGACAACAGATGAGTGACTACCAGAGTGAGGAAGTGGGGAGAGGTGTGGACCACAAAGAGGAAGCCTTAGGGAATCGTAGGGGGTGACGAAACAGTTCTATATTACGATTGTATAGGTGCACGCATAATGCTATGCACTTGTATAAGCTCACAGAGATATATATCACAAGGGTTAATCAGTTACTTTTACAGTATTTAAATGAAGAAAACTTTAAAATAATAAAAAAACAATGGAAGAAATCACGAAGAAAGATCAATAGACTTTACAAATGAAGTTCTATCATTTAAAAATGAAAGTCAGTGGTGCAATGTCATAAAAATCCTGAAAGGAAATTAATTGCAACTTACAATTATGTATTTCACAAATCTGTTAATGTGGAAATAAATATATCTATGAACATAAAAGTTTTCAGAATGCTTGCCTTCTACATATTCTTTCTCTGGAAAGAACTGCAAGATTTATTTCATCAAAATGAGGGAGTCAATCGAGCATGAGAAAGGCATAAGGAGGAAGACACTGGGGATTCAACAGATATATCAGGAATGACATGGAAGGAATTCGCAGCATGAGAAGAAAGGAAGCCTTGGGTTGACAGCTGTGAAGCATCCTTGAGAGAAGCAAGTGCAGGATGCATTGACACAGTGGCAGCCTCACTAACGTGCAGCAGAGAAATGCTGGGATCTGCAGTTGGGGGACAGAGGTGAAGTAGCATCACAGTGAGAAACCTTACAGACCATCTTTATCAGAGTGAACATCATCAGTTGTCGAACAAATTGAAATTATGCACCGCACCCACAGTTAAGATGCAATGAGAAGAACACAGCACCAGTTCAGTGCTGTCATTGACTAATATGAATAATCTGAAAGCAATCAAGAGGAAACATCAGCCAAACTGAAACAGAGGGCTGTGATATTAAGTAAGTGGTTTATAACCTTCACAAAGATGTCACGGGTGTGGAAGTCAAGGAAAGCCTAATAAATTCCTACAGACAAAAGCAAACTAAAAATAGATGACAACGGAATGCAACACATGATTCTAAAGTAGATCCTTTTGTTATAAAATACATCATTGGGACAGCTAGTGAATCTATGCGATCTGGAGATTAGATGGTAATAAGGTATCACACTTCCAAATTTTCTGTAACATGCTTATTGTCTCAAAGTTTTTTAAAGTAACAATCCTTTGTTTTTAAACATGAGTCAGTTTTCAAACCTAGACTTCACTCTATATAAGAGAGCCTGCAGGAATGCTTGCAGAAAGATCTGCAGGAGGAAGGACCCTGCAGCATCCCCATGAGTGTATATATTAATGATTCTCTTGTCTTTTCTAGAGGAAATGATGATCACGTACTGCAATAACTATACATTATGTGGAGAAAGGAGAATAGACAAGCATTTCAAGGATATTGGACAAAGGATCTGAGTAGACATTGATAACTAGAGCTTTCTTCTGGTCTATCTCCATCCCTCATAAGAGTGCAGGTATATCGGCACCAGGAAAGAGTCCTGGCTCAGGCCAAGCCAATGGACCCCAGTGGTCATTTCCCTGGTCTCCAAATACATAATTAGAATGAATTTGCCCAGTGCTGATACTGTCCCCACTTTGGTTCCTCAGACAATGCAGGGACATAAGAAGAGCAGTGACAGTAAAATAATCCAAGTGGCAGAAACTATTCCCTCCAGAGTTCCACTGTCCAAAATGGCAAATGTATACTGGGGGACAGAGGGACAAGGATTCATGCTATCCTTAATGACTGAAAACATGCAAAGTCAGTGGCCCCCATAGTACCTCCAGTTAATTTAATGATCTAGCCCCCGAAGAAACCAGAGGATGCTGAGAACAACAATGGTCTGCCACAAACTTAGGCAGAGTCCTGATTGCAGTTGCTGCATCAGATGTGGTTCCTTAGTTAGGACATATTAACATGGTCTCAGGTATATACTAGGTGACTAAATAACTTGAACAATGTATCATCTTCCAAACCCATTAGAAAAGAAATTTAGAAACAGTTTGCACTTACCTGAAATGGACAACAGTCTTGCCGCAACCACTTATTAAATAGGGAATCCTTTCCCCTATTGCTTGTTTTTGTCAGGTTTGTCAAATATCAGATGGTTGTACATGTGTGGCGTTACTTCTGAGGCCTCTGTTCTGTTCCATTGGTCTATTTCTCTGTTTTTGTACCAGTACCACTGTTTTGCCCTACAAGAGCTCCTGAAGGAAGCACTAAACGTGAAAAGGACCAACCAGTACAAGCCACTGCAAAAACATACCAAATTGTAAAGAACATCAATATTATGAAGAAACTCCATCAACAAATGGTTAAAACAACCAGCTAGCATCAAAATGGTAGGATCAATTTACACCTAACAATATTAACCTTAAATGTAAATGGGCAAAATGCCCCAATCAAAAGACACAGACTGGCAAACCAGATAAAAAGTCAAGACCGATTGGTGTGCTGCATTTAGGAGACCCATCTCTTGTGCAAAGACACACATAGGCTCAAAATAAAGGAATGGAGGAAAATTTACCAAGCAAATAGAGAACAAAAAAGAAAAAAAAAAGCAGAAGTTGCAATGCCAGTCTCTGATAAAACAGACTTTAAATCACAAAGATCAAAAGAGACGAAGGACACTATATAACAGTAAATGTATCAATGCAACGAGAAGAGATAACTATCCTAAATATACATGAACCCAATACAGCAGCACCCAGACACATAGAGCAAGTTCTTAATGACCTACAAGGAGACTCAGAATCCCACATAATAATAGTGGGAGACTTTAACACTTCATTGCCAATATTAGATCAACGAGACAGAAAATTAACAAGGATACCCAGGACTTGAACTCAGATCTGGACCAAGTGGACCTAATAGACATCTACAGAACTCTCCACCCTAAATCCACAGAATATACATTCTTCTCAGAACCATAATGCACTTATTCTAAAACTGACCACATAATTGGAAGTAAAACACGCCTCAGCAAATGCAAAAGAATGGAAATCATAACACACAGTCTCTCAGACCACAACGCAATCAAATAGAACTCAGCATTAAGAAATTCACTCAAAACTGCACAACTGCATGGAAACTGAACAACCTGTTCCTGAATGACTACTGGATAAATAATGAAACAAAGGCAGAAATAAAGATGTTCTTTGAAACCAGTGAGAAGGAAGACACAATGTACAAGAATATCTGGGACACATTTAAAGCAGAGTCCAGAGGGAAATTTATAGCACCAAATACCCACAAGAGAAATGAGGAAAGATCTAAAATTGATACCCTAATTGCATGATTAAAAGAACTAGAGGGGCAAGATCAAACAAATTCAAAAGCTAGCAGAAGACAAGAATTAACTGAGATCAGAGCAGAACTGAAGGAGATAGAGACACAAAGAACCCTTCAAAAATCTATAAATCCAGGAGACTTTTTTTTTAAAGATCAATAAAGTAGACTGCTAGCCAGACTGCTAAAGAAGAAAAGAGAGAAGAATCCAATAAATACAATAAAAAATGATAATGGGGATATCACCACTGATCCCACAGAAATACAAGCTACCATCAGAGATTACTATAAACACCTCTATGTACATAAACCAGTAAATCTAGAATAAATGGATAAATTACTGGGTACTTGCACCCTCCCAAGACTAAACCAAGAGGAAGTTGAATCCCTGAATACACCCATAACAAGGTCTGAAGTTGAGGCAGTAATTAATAGCCTATCAACCAAAAAAAGGCCAGGACCAGATGGGTTCACAGCCAAATTCTACCAGAGTTACAAAGAGAAGCTGATACCACTCCTTCTCCAACTATTCCATACAATACAAAACGAGGGAATCCTCCCTAACTCATTTTATGAGGCCAACGTCATCCTCATACCAAAACCTGACAGAGACACAACTAAAAAAGAAAATTTCAGGCCGATATCCATAATGAACATTGATGTGAAAATCCTCAGTAAAATACTGGCAAACCAAATTTAACAGCACATCAAAAAGCTCATCTGTCACGATCAAATTGGCTTCATCCTTGGGATGTATGCCTGGTTCAACATATGCAAAATATAAATGTAATCCATCATATAAACAGAACCAAAGACAAAAACCACATGATTATCTCAATAGATGCAGAGAAGGCCTTCGACAAAATTCAACAGCCCTTATGCTAAAAACTCTGAATAAACTAGGCATTGATGGAATGCATCAAAATAATAAGAGCTATTTATGACAAATTCAGAGCCAGTTTATACTGAATGGGCAAAAACTGGAAGCATTCCCTTTCAAAACTGGCACCAGACAAGGATGCCTTCTCTCACCACTCCTATTCAACACTATTGGAAGTTCTGGTTAGGGCAATCAGGCAAGAAAAAATAATAAAGCGTATTCAGTTGGGAAAAGAGGAAGTCAAATTGTCTCTATTTGCAGACAACATGATTTTATATTTAGAAGACCCCATCATCTCAGCCCAAAATCTCCCTAAGCTTATAAGCAAATTCAGGAAAGTCTCAGCATACAAAATTGATGTGCAAAAATCACAAGCATACCTATTACACCAATGACAGACAAACAGAGATCCAAATCATGAGTGAATTCTCATTCACAATTGCTACAAAGAGAATAAAACACCTACAAACACAATTAACAAGGGATGTGAAGGATTTATTCAAAAAGAATTACAAACCACTGCTCAAGGAAGTAAGACAGGACACAAACAGATGGAAAAACGTTCCATACTCATGGTTAGGATCAATATTGTGAAAATGGCTATACTGTCTAAAGTAATTTATACATTCAATGCTATCCCCATCAAACTACCATTGACTTTCTTTGCAGAATTGGAAAAAAACACCTTTAACTTCATATGGAACCAAAAAAGAGCCTGCATAGGCAAGACAATCCTAAGCGAAAAACAAAGCTGGAGGCATCACACTACCTGACTTCAAACTATGCTACAAGGCTAAAACCTTACCAAAACAAGTAATGGGGAAAGGATTCCCTATTTAATAAATGATGTTGGGAAAAATGGCTAGCCATAAGCAGAAAGCTGAAACTAGATCCCTTCCTTATACCTTACACAAAAATGAACTCCAGATGGATCAAACATTTAAACATAAGACCTAACACCGGCCGGGCACAGTGGCTCATGCCTGTAATCCCAACACTTTGGGAGGCCGAGGCAGGTGGATCACGAGGTCAAGATATCGAGATCATCCTGGTCAACATGGTGAAACCCCGTCTCTACTAAAAATACAAAAAAAAATTAGCTGGGCATGGTGGAACATGCCTGTAATCCCAGCTACTTGGGAGGCTGAGGCAGGAGAATTGCCTGAACCCAGGAGGCAGAGGTTGCAGTGAGCCGAGATCGCACCATTGCACTCCAGCCTGGGTAACAAGAGCGAAACTCTGTCTCAAAAAAAAAAAAAAAGACCTAACACCATAAAACCCCTAGAAAAAAACCTAGGCAATACCATTCAGGACATAGGCATGGGCAAGGATTTCATGACTAAAACACCAAAAGCAATGGCAACAAAAGCCAACAGAGACAAATGGAATCTAATCAAACTTAAGAGCTTTTGCACAGCAAAAGAAACTATCATTACAGTGAACTGGCAACCAACAGAATTGAAAAAAATTCTACAATCTGCCCATCTGACAAACGGCTAATATCCAGAATCTACAAAGAACTTATACAAATTTTCAAGAAAAAAACAAATGAACCCATCAAAAAGTGGGTGAATCATATGAACAGACTTCTCAAAAGAAGACATTTATGAAGCTAACAAATATATGAAAAAAAGCTCATCATCTCTGGTCATTAGAGGAATGAAAATCAAAATCACATTGAGATACTATCTCACACCAGTTAGAATGGCAATTATTAAAAATCAGGAGACAACAGATGCTGGAGAGGATGTGGAAAAATAGGAACACTTTTACACTGTTGGTGGGAGTGTAAATTAGTTCAACCATTGTGGAAGACAGTGTGGTGATTCCTCAAAGGATCTACAAATAGAAATACCATTTGGCCCAGCAATTCCATTACTGAGTATATAGCCAAAGGATTATAAGTCATTTTATTGTAAAGACACATGTTCACATATGTTCATTGGGGCACCGTTTACAATAGCAAAGACTTGGAACCAACCCAAGTGCCCATCAATGATAGACTGGATAAAGAAAATGTGGCACATATACACCATGGAATACTATGCAGCCTTAAGAACGATGAGTTCATGTTCTCTGCAGGGACATGAATCTGGAAACCATCATTCTCAGCAAACTATCGCAAGAACAGAAAACAAAACACTGCATGTTCTCACTCATAAGTGGGTGCTGAACAATGAAAACACATGGACACAGGGATGGGAACATCACACACTGGAGCCTATTGGGGGTGGGGGGCTATGGGATGGATAGCAGCAGGTGGGGAGGTTTGGGAGGGATAGCATTAGGAGAAATACCTAATGTAGATGATGAGGTGATGGATGCAGCAAACCATCATGGCACATGTATACCTATGTAACAAACCAGCATGTCTGTGCATGTACCCCAGAACTTAAAGTACAATAAATAAAAATAAATGAAAACTTAAAAAATAAAAATAAATAATTATTACTTTTTTCAGGTATGGATTTCCTTTACTGCCTGCAAGCTGTCGGCTACCACTACCTGTTGAGGGGTCTACAGAGCCCCTCTGGTGGTATGGTATGTGACAGGATCAGCATATTTCATGGCAGTGTGCCCACTTTCTCTTATCCTTTGCTGTAATGTGGATCTTTCACTGATTCAAGATTTTATGAGAGACTATGTGAGGACTAACTGTCTCTAACCAACAGCAAGTGAGGGAGCTGACATTACACTCTGAAGAAGGGAGAATTGTGATTTGCATGTTGATACTTCTTTGATCAATTTCAATGGTAACTGCCAAAGTGCAGCAAGATATACCCTGAGAAGGTCATTGTATACAAGGGTTCAAAAACCTTGTAGTGTCATCAGCTGGAGATATCAGAACCAGGTGTGGATGGTAGAGGAGGAAGAGGATGAGTACAAGTCACAGCAAAGAGACTACCTACAGTGGTAGGGTCTATGATTTATTCCGTACTCCTCCCTCCTGTCCAAGATACAAAGTTCACTAGAGTTCTGAAGGAGCCGCTCCCGGAACTCATATGAAGCAGGTGGATCTGATTAGCACAGGGGGCACAACCTCAGAGATGCTGTACGGTGCCACTGAGATGCCTATTTCAGGATTCAGCAATTTATTCTCCCCAGCTGCTGGCCGTATTTTTCCTCCCACTTCAGGAACCACCTAAACTGAAAAGAGCCATTTGTCCAAGTTCATGCCCACTTCACGAAGCAGTTAACATTCAATGACTGTTCAATACAGGAGTATAAATTCCCATCTCCTCCACCTTGATTCGGGACATCACTAAAGGACCATGTCAGCAGGGTCGGCTGATTCCTTGTTGCGACCACACCACAGTCTGCTTCTCCATCTGCCCCATCCCACATCGTCCTTTCTTCGACAGGCATTAATCTCTACAGTAGCCCCTAAAAGACTTCTCCGAAGGTAATCTCTTTCTCAAAGTTTGCTTCCCAGGGAACCCACACTATAGCAGCAGGTTATTTATAAATGTAGAGAGAGTTAAAGAGAAGTTAAAAGAGTTATAAGTGATGGGGAGGGGATCTGGCAATGGAAAGCTATTTTCTTTTGATAAGCATTCTTGAGCTGTTTAATTTTTAAACTATGTGCATGTATTTTTAATAAATATTTAAACACAATGTTAAAATAGAAAACCAGATTTTTTTAAAGATTGCACTGGAAAATCCATTGTAATTGTAGGTCAGATTTATTTTCCATCTCATTCTATTTTTATTTGCAAATATTCCAAGCCAAGCTCCAGCTTTCTGAATCACATTATATGCACACGACTTTGTACCCTTATCTTCACTTCTTATTTCTTGCACAGACAAATGTGTTCACCCACCCACATCCCCAACACAAAGACATTCAGCTTCTAAACTTAATCCTCCATGTTACCACTCTCTCATCCAGACTTTGGAAAAGTGGAAGACAACCAGGACATATTGAAGGTATCCGGTCTGTTCATCATTTAGTTGATACATACGTTGGAAAATCAAATGATTCGCTTGAACATGCATTGATTTAGGATGTGTCTAATTTATCCATCTATCGGGAGGAAAATATTTGATGACTCCCTCAGTGACATCAAATTCTTATTGTGGATTTCACAAAGCCTATATCAAAGTGCTTCAGCAGTAATAACTGTCTCTCCTGCAGTCAAGGACCATAAACCTACCAAATAATTTTGAAAGAAAGCCAAACCTATCAACAGCAATGACCTATCAAAGCAAGGTTGATGTTCATTTAGCGAAGATAATGGATGAGGTATAGAACTATAGATCATTGGTGACAAAGAGAATATCAAGATCCTTCAGATTTTTCTACACCACTAAATAATTGCCAAAATTCCAGGTCTTGGAAGCATTAAGATCAATATCACGTGGAGTAAAAAGAACACCGTAGTCACAACTTCGGCACTTACACACTGATATGTGTTCCCTTGGGAACATCAATTGATATCACTGCATCTTAGACTTTTCATCTGTGAAAGTGTTCACACTAAATAATGTCAGTGCTGTCCAGTTCCATGAGGGACTCTGTTATTCTGAAGGTCAAAAGCATCTACTGAAAGATAACTTTGAAATGATTGACTTCTGTTTTGCATTTTAGTTCAAAAATGCATTTTATTAATAATAAAAGAAGAGATTACAAATCAGGAAATCGAAGTCCTGGCATAGTATGTGCCAATGCATTTTGATGCCATAATGCTGAGTCTCTTGCAGTGCAGACCACAGAAGACTATGAGGCTTTACCAATAAACCTCTCTAGAGACCAGCTACCAATGAGGTTAATAACGCTATTACATAACATTTGCAAAAGATTCAGAGCTCTAATGATGTTTGCATTCAGTTTTGCATCAACTAAATAATACCATTTCTATGTTAAATCCTTCACTTGTCACCATAGGTCTACCACTCAAACAAAGAGTATACCATTTACCAACATAGGTCCTTGATCCTTCCTAAACTACTAGGTTAATTCAGGTTCTTAAGATTTAGTCAGACATCTGCAGAAACATCAATTTGGATATAATGATATGAGAAAAGAGAGGCAGTTTTATAAGAGTTAAGAAGGAAAATACAGAAAATAAGATAATAGTAACGCTAAATTTACATATTTCCAGATCCTTCTGGTATAGACAAACTAAGAAATCCAATATTTACTTGGGAGGCACTTGAGGGTCTGAGTATGGACAATAGAGTGCCTTTAATGTATAATTGGCTTAAGGAATTCAAAGATAGTCCCTTGTATGCATGGTCTCAGGATTAATTATTCTAACAGTTTCATAAGATTATTGATCATTCTTTGATCTCCTGCTGTATAATACACCCTGACCAGAATGTACCATTCAGCAACTTGTATCGATTCTTGGTAATTTTTGAGAAATGAACCCCATCGTCTCAGATAAGAAGTATCTAGAATGACAAATTCAGTACGGATCATTTAAGATGCTATCTCCCTGTAGAGTGTGCATTCTTTAATTACTGATTGTGTAGATCACCGATGGTTGCAGCTCAGATTTCAAAAAGTATACACTGAAAGTGCTGTGCATACTTTGCATGGCAAAATGTGCACCCAAAGGGGTATATATTTCAGATTGGGAAACGGAACTCAATACTTCAATTTGCCTCTTTTTTTTTTTTTTTTTGGTAATGTATGATTTGTGAAGTATAATCATTGAAGATCAAGGCAAATTTTGTGATAAACTTTAGAAAAATAGAAACATAAACCAATAACGAACTGACATAAGGTTTGGGGAAAATATCATCAGAAGTATATTTCATTTGAGGTATTACAGTTGTAAATTAAAAAATAACTTTTGCTGTGTTAAGAATTTTTTAAATATATCAACAAGTTTAGTTGAAAACATTTTACATTCTTTGGGAAACTGACATTACTCAGGGTCTCAAGTAGTGTCACCATCAAACAATGGTAGCAAATTAATTGGAAAACTTTTTTAAAAGGAAAGACATTACATACTAATAACCACTGCACTTTCTGGGTCTTGTTAAATACAACTTGCATGTTCAGAGTTGAAATCTGACACTCAAAACCAAATGTATTCAACATTATTAAGAAGAGACAAACAGAAAAATGAGCAATACCAACAAAGCAACGACAACAAAACATTTTTCGAGACTATTGATGTATTGTATTGAATATAATACAGAGAAAGGTAAAGGGGCTTTATTATGCTTGTGGCCACTGAAGATGCAAACAGCGGCCAAACAGGATCTGAGAAGCATTTCCAGGTCTGTGAATAACACCATGGGAAGACAAAAGCAATCACAGTAAGTGTTTGTAAATAAAGCAAGGTCATTATAGTCCAAATTTAATTTTTACCTCTAACAAAACTTATGTATTACATGGTTAAGAGACCAAGGCTACAGTTTTCACTTGTAAAAACTGCAGCCATTAAGCAGGTTAAACTTGTTTTAGATCATACCAGAACAGTTGCAAATTAACAGCAATATCTAATTTATTGTTCCATAAAATGAATGCTATGAGAAATACGTTACTGGACAAGGCTTCCTGGAGCCACCCCAAGCCTGGACATGGCAAGACGGCAGGGCTGCAAACTCATTGCCTGTACATTCAGCGTAAGAGCATTTGTTTGTCCACTGAGAGCCCCTGGCTATTAAAACCAACTGTCATAATTATATGCTAAATCATAGCTGCCAATCAGAAGAAGTACTCTTTCTGATTTTCATTGACTGCATTTTGTATATTAAGCTCACTTTTCAGAACAGCCTCAGCACTGTCTACATTCTCTGACCTCTTTGCCTCACTTCTTTTATATAACCTTTTTTGCTGATAAATGCGAACAGCTATGGCAGTGATGCAAAGCAAGATAAAAATCACAACTGCTATCAGACCTAGGGAGAGAAAAGAAACATAAAGTCAGAATTTTTGCCCGAATAGAAACTGTGCTGACATCATTGCTTAGTAAGTAATTATAATATTACTTTCCACTTAAGCATCTACTGTATACAAATAGAAAATATAAAAACTTCAGGGATTTATGGTTCAAGAAGTACTGTTGTATGTTGAGTTTATTTCTGAGTTCTATCAGCCTTAGGGGTTCACCTACATTCATTCTAAAGGCTTAGCATGTCTGATTTACTTGGTGCATTTATATTTAACACAAGGTATTACCCACATGTCTCTAGGACCATGTGGCCACTTCATATTAGTTTTAATTATTCTGAAATTATAGAGTAGTAGCAACATCCCAAGATGATTAAAGTGTTTTGTGATTAAATATGTAAAAATTTTCATAAAGATATTATTCAATTATTTGTTATACTGTTGAATAGCAGAAATGGGTTACATGAATAAATCATTCTGACCAATAAAACATAGATAAATAGATATGCTTAAATTATTTCTATATGAGAAATGTTTTAAAACACTTCTGGTTGTAAATACAAATTCTAAGTGCTGCAATTCTTAACTATGCCAGTGGTTACCAACGCTGGCATTACATTAGGTCAGTCGTCCTCTGAGTATGATCTGTAAACCCATGGTGGTCCCTTGGACATTCTGAGAGCACATATGGGCTCAAAACTATTTTTATGATAATTCTAAGATGCCTTTTTCACTGTGTTGACATTTCCTATTTTAATGCTGACCCAATTTGGTATAAAAACAAGGTTAGGTAAAATTTCTGGTACTTAGAGCAAATTAAGGCAAGGACACAACTCAATAATAGTAATGAATTCATGAAGTAGATAACATTACACCGCCAAACTTGTTGGAAAAAGAAAAAAAAAAAGCCTAATTTATTTAAGAATATCCTTAATGAAGCTATAAAAATTATTCATGTAATTAAACCTTGACCCTTGGCTGCAAGTGTTTTTAACATTTTGTGTGTTAAAATGGGACATACACATAAAGTACTTCTAGTGCACTCTGAAGTATGATCATTGTCTCCAGGAAAAGTACTTATGTGGACCTTTGATTTGTGAATTGAATTAGTTGCTTTTTGCTTCATGTAACATCATTTTTATTTGAAAGAATAACTAACAGACAAACTATGGTTGTTCAGACTTGAGTATTTGGTGGGCATTTTCTCTAAAATGAATGAAGTAAATGTGTCACTTCAAGAAAAACAATTAAAGCATATGTTGTGAATGATAAAATTCAAGATTTCAAATAAAAAATAGAATTTGGAAAACTACTTTCTGTCACCAAGAGTGGAGAGTTGTCTACACTTCAAAGAATTTTCTGATAAGATCAGTGGAGGTATAAACTAATGTCATTTGATTAGATACAATTAGGTACTATGAAAAGAGCAATGTGAATCAAATCTCATATGGCAAAACTAAGACTCCATTCTAAAATAGATGTATGCCGCCATAACAGAGTACAAGAAATCAAAGATTTGAAGGTTTTTATTAATCACAATAGATTCCTGTGTATATAATCTGCTAGGTAGTTTCACCCTGGCCAATTATAGCATGTCCAATGGTCAAGCCAATTCTGGCTAAGTCAACCTTACCTGAGAAAGGTAACAATTCCTTGCTGATTAATATAAACGTGGTGACCAAATTCTGTACATTAAATCTAAAGAATTCATTAATAAATATGATTGCTTTTGTTATTAGTCATGTTAATTAATGAATAACTTTAATCAGAATATTTGTTGTTACATATTTTGCCTCTCATTTTAGAAAAATAATCAGTTGAATTGCTATAAATATTTCTAAGGGCTAGTTATAGGCCTCTGGCTTGAAGAGAAAAATTCTGAACAATTTCAATGTGAAAACTTCTGAAATATGATATAGAAAGCAGACAACTGCAATTATAAAATGGACATTACATTGGCCTAGAAAGAATACTAGACAGCCAAAATCATGGATGGTCTCTGGAACGTGTTTGTTCCATGTAAGTAATTTACCACTTCATTTGGGGAAAGTGCTATGCCAGAATTTGTTGTGCTCAAGAAAAACTTTGATCACACATGTTATACCAAAAATATAAAAATAAAAAATAGTTATTATGAATAAAATGTGGCCAGCTTCTATGATGCTGGATCTAAAGCACTATGTGAATGTGTTTTTATGAAGATGTGTATATATAGCTTTCTCTGTCGCTAAATCTGTCTATTTGTATCTGGGTAGCCTCACCAGAAACCCTCTACCACATCTGGGTCATCACTTTTAAATGTATTTTTAAATTAATAATCTCATAATATTAATTTTGTACATGAAAAAAATAATCTACGAAGTAGAACACAGGGGGATTTGCCAATTTGGAAGATCCTTGGATGGATTAATTATTATTACATAGTAGGTGCAATTAATGAATAAGCAGACAATGAACAAAGAATTCTACCACAGTTCTACCAGATTGCCTGACATACTGGAGGATGATACACTGTGATTTAGCAGATAAACTGTGTATGGCCCAGACAAGGTCTTCAGAAGTTACAGGGCCATTAGCAGACGCTTTGCTTCTGAAGTTCAGTCTCTGAAATTTTCAAAACCAGATATCACTAGTTTCATGGACACTGGTAAGCCCCTGAACTACAAACCTTCCACAGTGTCTGTCTCTGCCATATGAATTTGAGCTAAGTGAGAATTTCACAGATGAACTGTAAATTGTTTCTATGCTAGAAGTGCATTATAATGAGGTATCAATGCACTTCTTGTTTAACTCTGTAAATCTTGCCAATGATGTCTGAGCAAAATAACAATAGTCTAAAGATTAAATATTTTGTCCTAGCATTGGTTTGATGACTATGCACCACTCTATATTTATGTCTATCTCTCTGTCTGTATTTACTTGAATCTATCCTGGTTGAATGTCTAGAAAAGGCAATATTATAAGACTGAGACAATTAGCTTGACCAGAAATTCTATCTTAAACTCTTGGCACATTATAAATACTATAGATTTAAGTGAGCTTTTGCTGTATATTTTTCTTAGACATCCAATTATTAACTACTTTTCAAATAGAGCTTTTTGTTGTTTGTTTGTTTGAGGTGCTTTTTGTTTTTCATATTAGGTGATTAAATGGGAACCCTATTTTTTATATCTCTAATTTGCAAATTGTTAATTTGAGAAACAGGAAAGGAACTGAAGAGCATGGGGGAGTTAATATCCATACAAAGATTTGAACAGTAGTAATTGTTGTCTAAATAAAATCCTAACTACTTGAAAGCATAATATATTTAGTTGAGTCTACAAAATAAAACCAAATGAACCAGGTATAAAGCCATAAAAATTGCCCAAGTATATGAATAATCATATTATTGGCACAAAATCTTTAAAATTACATCTCCCTGGCAATGCAACAGAATAATTGTTTACTTTACATCTCCATATCATATTCAGAGTGTAAAGAAAGGTGAACCACTGAACATTTCAATAATCTGATTAATAACATTATTAAGAGCATTAATCAAGAAGAAAAAAGGCTTGTTTTTTGAGTTGCTTTTGAAAAATATATATATATTTATCTAGAGAATATGCTGTCACATTGCCAGGGAGATATACTTTAAAAGTTTTTGTGTTAATTCTGCAATTTAAAGTTACTACTAATCACTTTCACTTCATTAATCTAATATTTTAAAAAACACAACTGAAGGTGTAATCTTTAGTTGATGGAAGCATCTTTAAATAGTTTACTATGCAAATACTCCCTTTATTAAGCCTTAAGACAATACAAAATATATATACTTCTAGTGTTAATCTCAAGTTTTTTTCTGCTTTTTGCATGAACCTTTCTAGAAGTAGTGATATGTCCAAGAAGTGAAGAAAAATGACATTTCCTCAAACATGTTCAGAATTCTCTAGTGATTACAAGTGGCTATTTTCAAGCTTGATAATATTCATTATTATGCATGTTAGCAATTACTCTTTGAATGTAATGCTTCAGTGAAATTGTCAATTATTTATTTAATTTTTAAAATAAATAATAAATAAGCAGTGAAATGTATTTCCTGCTCCAAGGAAGCAGAGAATTTAGGAAGATTCTAAAGACAATCCGGTACAAACAGTAAATCACCCCATTGTTTTCAGGATTGAGCACCTGGCACTTGGAGTAGGCGCAGATTCATTAGCGTTTCTACAATGCTAAATATTCGCCATCATTATTAACAATAAGAAGACCCAAAGCAGAGCTCATTCATGCTTCATATTACCTCCAATTACTGCAGAGTCACTTTTGATTGCATTAGCAAGGGGCTCTCTGTCATCAATTGTTCCAGAATGATCTACAGTTAAAGCACAACAAAGGCAGAAGGTGATATAGGCAAGCAAAAAGAAGACGTTTTGAAAAAAATCATAAATGTTTTAAACCAGAAAGAATTATGGAGGTGAATTTGGGATCTCCGTTATTTTCAATTTCAGCAATGTCAATGGTGTTGACCCTCATAAATAAGAAATTGAACATCTAGAAAAGAAATAGGAAAGAGATCTAAAAGCCAAATAAATAAAACCAACTTTAAGAAGCCATCTTGAGAAGGTGGCCTGAGAGCAACATGGGAAGTTTTTTAAATCCCATGGGCAAGCTGGGTTTGTGACTGAGTAGAGGAAGAACCCTAAGTCACCTGCAAATGAGTGTGTCCTTTCCCTTGATGTGGCATCCGTGCCAGCCTGGGCCACACAGCTGGACTCGGTCACGTGTCCCGTAACAGTGACAGGGTCTGGATGGCTGGGGTACAGAGCTGCCTTCAGAGGGGCCACGTGACTCAGCTGCACTGCAGAGAGGCAGCCTGTGAAGCCCTGCGCACCTGCCAGTGCAGTCTCCTGGTCTACATCACTGTGTTCTGCAAATCCAAAAAAATACCAAAATGTTAATGGTGAAAATCGAAAACAGGGAACGACACAGAAATGGCGTATTCTGAATTTGTTAATGCAATAGCAAGAAATATAAAGCTATCAAATTCCTCTTTAATTTTGTCTTTACTAAAAAGATAAAAACCCATTAGTCTTTCACAACTATTGGTAGATTTCCCATTTAATGAAGTCAAGTTTTTAAGCACGGATGATTAAAAAGGTTATGGTAAGCTCTCCAGAAACAAAGCATAAGAATGGATCCGGTTAAGAAGCAATGAGGGTGTCATAATATTTTTAATTTAAAAATAGATTACTGCAACATATTTATGTTAGGGTTTATAGTCAGAATCAAGAGGTGCATCCTAGTTTTGAAAACAAGTTCAGTACAGTTTTCAAAACTTACGCCATGAAAGTAACACAAACTAGAGAGAAAAGTGAGCCTTTGGATTTCTGTTATCAGTTCCCCAACCTGACAATTTGTTCTGGCTGAAAGTTTTCTGATGCTTTGTGACCCCACCCAAACATACCAGGAGGATGATACCATCATGCAGTGGGGGCCAGACCCTGAAGTTATTAGGGTCTCTCCATAATTACTCATGTACAGCCATAAAACCCTTCATACCCATTGCCTTTTCTTCCTGTTTCAATGACAACCTGTCACGGAGACAGAAATATTTGTGCCCTCCAAAGCCAGACAATCTCTCCCTCCTATTAATGAGAATTTAGTTAGTATGAGACTCTTGTGGAACAGAGACTGTTGTAATGCAAGGACATTAATTCATAATTTGCATTAGGAATATCTCATACATACTCCTTGCTTGGCAAGCACAAAATCTAAACAAGGAAAATTTATTGAAGAGCTTAAAGGCTCAAATGTCATCAAAATACAGTGCATCCATCCACCCAGTATGATAAAAAACAAACAGCACAACTATTGATATGGTTTGGCTCTGTGTCCCCATCTAAACCTCATTTGAATTGTAATCCCCATAATTCCCATGTGCCAAGGGAGGGACCCAGTGGGAGGTGACTGGATCATGAAGGCAGTTTCCCCCATGCTGTTATTGTATCTCATGAGATCCAATAGTATTATAAGTATTTGGAAGTTCTTCCTTTTTTCTTCTCTCTCCTGCTCCTATGTGAAGAAGGTTTTTGCTTCCCCATCCCCTTTGCCTTCCGCCATGATTATAAGTTTCCTGAGGCCTCTCCATCCATGTGGAACTGTGTTGATTAAACCTCTTTCTTTTATAAACTACCCAGTCTCAGGAAGCTCTTTATAGCAGTGTGAGAACGAACTTACAGAACTATTCTCCCCTGTACTGTAAATAGGTAGGGAAAGACAAAATGTGCACGTTAGTCTTTCTTTTGAAAATATAATAATATAGATGTGTATATTCAGGGCAACTTGAATTTATGCTCCCAGGAAAATTAAGTTAAATTAAAAGTACAAACAATGTAAGAGATACTAAGAATATATGAATGCATATTATGTGCTAGCCAGTATTCTAAAAGATTTGCATACTACTGATAAAACTTTACAATACCCAGACTTGTAACTGGAACAAGTCACATGGATGGAACAGTTAAGTTCAGAATTTTAACCATTCACCTGAGGTTACACAGTTGTCAGCATTACGGGACCTCTGGCCTACTATATTCCAAATCATGAGCTTCTTTTGTTTATAAACCACTCTCTGGTTGAGATACTCTTTCCTTTAGTCTGCTTTGAGTTTCTGCAGTGTCTTTTTATTTATTTATTAAAGCATTTTTTCTTGAGAGCTAGACTTTAAGTGACCCTGGGCATCTGAGCATCTGAGATCTTTTTTTTTTTTTTTAACAGAGTCTCTCTCTGTCACCCAGGCTGGAGTGCAGTGGCATGATGTCAGCTCCCTGCAACTTTTACCTCCCAGATTCAAGAGATTCTCATACCTCAGCCTCCTGAGTAGCTGGGATTACAGGCGTGCACCATCACACCTGACTAAATTTTTTGCATTTTTAGTACAGATGGGGTTTTGCCATGTTGGCCAGGCTGGTCTCGAACTCCTGGTCTCTAGTGATCCACCTGCTTCAGCCTCCCAAAGTTGCTGAGATTCGAGGCGTGAGCCACTGTGCCTGGCCAGTTATATCTAAGTTTTAAAGAATTTTGGAAGGCTCCATTTTCATTCATGTTTTCTATGTAATAATAAAAATCCCGATTGAATGTTTAGTATCATGAGTATCATCCTCTCTAAAGAGAAAATGGAAAATTTGAGAGATTATATCACTTTCTTGTTGTGGGGGACCTGGTAGTGAGCCATGTTCTGACCCACCTGGCTCTTCCTCACTACCCAGAGATAGCACTGAGGTAGCATCACTCTACAGCTTCCGCACAAAACTGTGAGCTCCTCAAACAGAAAGATGACTGCCAACACCCAGAATAATGTCATTGCCTAAGAGGCAGTTCATCAGTGTGTATGGAACCAAAGAAAGCACTTAGTCCACCTTAGCAGTCATTCAATGTTCATTGACCTTTTAATCTGCTTCCTGGTGCCAGTGACCACCTTAGGTGGCTCACACCCGGGACATGTAGACAGTGTGGTGGTCTGCGCGGACCAGGAACAGAGCTGCAGGCCACAGCCCTGCCAGCAAACCTCTCTTTACCCAGCCTTGGGACAGAGAGGGCATGGCCTAAATCTCAGGTCATCTCAGTGTCTTAAAAAACAGAAAATGGGCACATTAATATTTTCTAATGCTGATCTTTCCCCATGGGCCCCAGGGACCTCTGTAAGACAAACAATCCCCAAGATCCAAACAATTCAACCCTCCCCCACCCCATGAGAGTTTTCTAGGCTGGCCCTTGAGCTTTCTTCCAACCCAACAGGTAGGAAGCCCCACAAAAGCCTCCTCCCTGGTTCCCTCCAGGATCCCCTTGCCTGTCTGCCTGCACCAACAACTCATTTCAGAAGCATCAGTGGGGTAGAACCCAAATTAGAAGTAGAGGGAAACCACAAGAAACTCAGCAGCCATCCTCCCATAAGTGACTCCAAACAAAATTAATTGCTAAATTAAGTTGCTCATAAGCAAAGCTGGCCTTATAAATACATAGCGTCAGATATCTGCTTTGACAATTGTGTTTATAACCCAATGGGCAAAAACATAAGTTTTTCCTGTTACCTGACTCCTGAAAAGCCAACACAGTGTAATAAGTCAGAAATTACTTATTATGGAGGGAGAAATTGATGACAAATGTCTCCAGTTTCACAGAAATCTGGGTAAAACAATCATGTTTTAGACGTTTCCTGTTATAATAATCCTTAAATGACCCAGATTTCAGGGCATTTGTGCCTGTTACAAAGTAACCTTCAAGTGTATTTTTCCAACAAAGGGAATGACTTCCATATATATAAAGAAGAAACCTTTTAACAAAAGGCCTACAAGAAAAATGGAGTATTGAAAATTAGAATTTGGTGAAGTGCTCTTCTGTGACAGAGAAACGACTGTTCGTTGAAAGATATGACAATACATTTAAAAACAATTACAAGGAGTGCTTTATGAAATTTCTTGTGGCATAAACAAAAAAATAAAAACTCAAGAAAACGAAGTACTTTATATGTCCTACCTATGAGAAGGAGTCATTTAAGAAGAAAGATCTCAATGTCTTTAATCCATAAACAAGGCTCGCCAAAAAAATAAATAAATAAATAAATGGTGCAATGAATCAGAGAGCCAGGGCTAGAACGGAATGATGCACGTTTACTATTTTATGCAATTCCACCAGGAACTCAACACAAAAAGAATTAATGGGAAAGTAAAATGGCAAAGCAGACAAAAAAAAAACCTATGTGGATAAAGAGGCAGTTTATCATAAAAGGTATTTGTTTGCCAGCCAAACCTACTGTAGTGAGATGTAAACTTGAAAGCCTGATGAATGCACAAGTTATGTACAGGCAGCTATCTTACAGTGACAGGTACTTCCCTTTTGCTTTCAGCATAACCTGTCTCAAGTGTCATTTTACAAGATGTATGTAAAAATCTCAGTGTCCTTAAGTAAGCTAATTAAACCTTCTTTTGTGCCCCTTTGGCTTTGAAGCTGGTTTTACTTAAAATATCCTTGAGTGGAAGATTGTCTCTAAAGCTCTTCTGAGGAGATTGAGTAGACATCCTCTTCTCTCAGACCACACACTTTATTTACATCTGGGCTAAATCGCCACTGCAGAAACCTGAGTGTGCTTCCTGAGCTCTGCAGACTCAAGAGAGATAAATGATCCCTATGGGTCATCGCCTCTAAATATACCAAAGCTACTACTCAGAACGAGTGAAAATGATCTCCAGGCTTTTAGAAAACTTCTCTAACATAAAAATGAACAGAACTCAGAACTTAATTTTACAATGGGTTTTGGAGATAAAAAGCAAATGTAGCACGTCCTATTAATGATGGAGAAATGTCAACCAAGTTAATCCAACGCAATCTGGTTTTTCCCACTACCATCATGAATTATCAACACATTCTCGTTAGTGTTCCTGTGCCATGAGGCATTTGACACAGATAATAACAAACAGCAATTATAAATTTCATTCAACTTTTGAGTAGTGATTTTTTTCAGTCATTTCCACAGTGTGTTAAATTATATCATTATTCAAAATGTGGGCATATTTTCCCATGAGAGGTTTTATACAACTTTAATAAGATTATGTAAATATCTTAACTGAGATCTTTGTTTTCCCCATGTGGTGGAATTGTGATAAGTAATAGCTTAATGAATTGGCAAAACAACTTTATAGCTGTATATTTCCTTTAATTAATTACATCCTAGAGAGATTTCTTTTTATATAATTTTCTAGTAAATATCTTAAGGACACTGATTGACAAATCATTCACTTTGGCAATGGAACTTACACACATTGTGAGCAAAGTAAAGACGTGACATCAAACTGTCGGCCCTTTTATAGGGAATACCAGAAAGAAAGGAAATGCTTTTTTCCCCATCCTCTAGTTCTCATTTCTACAAGT